CTTCCTTCCTTCCTTCCTTCCTTCCTTCCTTCCTTCCTTCCTTCCTCTCTCCCTCCCTCCCTCTCTTCTTCCCTCTCTCCCTTTCTCTCTCTTTCTATCTTTTTGGAAAACTGGTCTTACATATTTACTAGCACACCACTGAGCAAAGAGATTAAGTAACTTGTCCATGGCCTTCCCTCTGAGTATTAAGACAAAGATTCAAACCCAGCCATTAACTCCAGCAACCATTCTATTAACCACATTCCTAGAAGACTAATACTGCTTATAAACAACCGAGTGTGTGTTTCATGAACCCACTTAACTGTTACCTGTCTTATACCCCATACCTTCTCTGATTTTTCACCTAGCTCTCCTCAACTCACAGAAATGTCATCTTTTCCTGGTATTCTCTGATCTACCTCAGGTCCTTAGTAAACTCTAAACTCTGGCAGAGTAGGGCCTGTGGCTCTGTCTGATTTATCATTGTAATCCACCTTTCTAGGATAATGCTTGGCACTATATTCAATTTTTTTTTTTTTTTTTGCACAGGGAATAAAAACAATTAATATGTGCATGTATTATTTCTCCTTCTGGAGTGTATGCTCCTTAATAATTAGTTCTATGATTCATTTCTAAGACCAGCAGCCCAACACCAGGCACAGAGCCACATATAGATTAAATACTCAGTAGCTATTTGTTTTAGTAAAAGTTACCAGAATTCAGGGATCAGCTTTTTTCTTATAGCAAAGCCTCCTGAGAGCAGGTTTTGATGAAATTGGAAGAAGACTAGGAAAATTCAGGACCCCAAGTTTGAAAGTGTAGGATGACCTTGGTCATGGTGTAGGGGCGATAGCCCGAGGCATAGATAATGGACAATATGTATAAGGGTATGATTGAGATTTAATGGGGTAAAGCACACTGACTGGAAGGGTTGGCTGTGATAGCCACCTTGCCTGTCTTCTGCTTTGTTGAGGCTCAGCACTTCAGATAGCTAAGAGCAATGATGTCTGTGTATGTGTTTCACATTAAAACAAAACGTAATTTGTTGTGGTGAAAATAACCCTAGCTAGGGCCCAAGGAGACCTGCATTTGAATCCTGGATGTGTTAGATTGCCTTAATGATCCCAATTTTCTTCCATGTATTCACACCTTTGTCAATAAACTTGGCAGCATGTTCCTGTTCTGATTCTGGGCTCATCTACTTGACCTACATTAGCCAATAAAAAAGTAACCATGTTCCAGTTACAATATTTGCTTTGTCCAATCGAATGAGACAGAAGTAATCATATGCCAGCTCCAAGACCATGTGCACATTTCATTGTTCCCTTAACTGTGCTATCGCTATGAGAAGGACTTTCCCTGATGATCCCAGCAAAAGGATGAGAGACACATAGATTAAACCCAACCACAGTGGAAACCAGCCCAGATCAGCCAACCCCTGGCAAACATGCAGACTTTTTCTTTTTTTTTTTTTTTAGATGGAGTTTCGCTCTTGTTGCCCAGGCTGGGGTACAATGGTGTGATCTTGGCTCACTGCAACCTCTGCCTCCCAGGTTCAAGCGATTCTCCTGCCTCAGCCTCCCGAGTAGCTGGGACTACAGGTATGTACCACCACACCCAGCTAATTTTTGTATTTTTAGTAGAGACAGGGTTTCCCATGTTGGTCAGGCTGGTCTCGAACTCCTGACCTCAGGTGACCCACCTGCGTCAGCCTCCCAAAGTGCTGGGATTACAGGTGTGAGCCACCCCAAACCTGCAGAGTTTTTACAAATCATAAATGATTAATGTCTAAGTGGTTGAGTTGTGGAGTGGTTATATAGCAATAGCTAACCGATACAGTGGCCCTTCAGTCTTAGTCAGCTCTGACTGCCATATCATAGGCCAGGTGGCTTAAACAACAGAAGTGTATTTTCTCACAGTTGCAGAGGCTAGAAAGTCCAGATCAAGGTGCCAGCCAATTCAGTTCTTGGTGAGAGCTGTTTTTGTGGCTGGGGGATGGTTGGTTTCTTGCTCCATGCTCATATGGCCTTTCCTGAGTGCATGCATTCAGAGAAAGAAGCAAGATTTCTGGTGTTTCTACTTGGAAATGGGATGGTAATCCAAACAGATCAGGGCCCCATCATCATGTCCTCTTTTAACCTTAATTACTTTCTTAGAAGACCTATCTTCAAATATAACCCCACTAGGGGTTAGGGCTTAGACACAGAAATTTTGGGAGGACATAAACGTTTGGTCCATACTACCTCCCTTAAAATTCTTTTACTCATCTGAAAGATAAGGATGTATGGTCATAATACACATCCAGTAAATACTTATTGAATCAAGAATATTGGACAATATATTTCTAAAAAACATTTCAAGATGGTTTTTTGTTTTGTTGCCATAAAGGCATCTAGAATTCATACAAGAGGGAAAAATGTCATCCTCTATTCTAATTAAACTGTCTGCAAGTAAGGAGGGGCATAGAGATGCCTAATATTTAAATACATGCAAGTATATTTAAGATTATTGAGCAGGGAACTCAGCTATTCCATTCAATTGTTCCTTCAGGTCCTAGATCAGCACTTGGCATAAAGAAGATAATTCAATTACCTACTTTACTGAATTGAAAAAAAGTTATCCAATTGAAAAAAAAAGACTGAGGGAATGAGTCAATCAGGTCTTGTGCCTGCCTATAGCTGTCCTCAAAAAGTTCAGGGAGATGAGGCAGGATACAATCTGAATCATGGGAAAGAACGGTCCTCTGCTTGACTAATAGGAAGTACAACGATGAAAACAGAGGAGGTGTTGAGCTGTCCTGATGGCTCAAGAGTTGCCTTGGGGCAGTCCAACTGGCACCTCCTTCCTGTTCCTCCTTCGTGATTACCACGCCATCCCACAGCTTGTTAACTGCAACTGATTCCAAACCACACTGATGTTCACCCTTTGTTCTCCAAACCTAATTGTGCTTGTCCTCAGTATCTGCCTGATTGTTCAAATGAGAGATGAGTCATCTCTCGCTTCTTTACATCCCACTCAATGGAGCCCACAGCTCCATTTCCCCACTGAAATGACAAAATCCAATTTGACCTTAATTGTAGCCACTGAGCTATCATTTGCTGGGGAGTGACCATGGGCCAGGCAGTGCCCGAGATGACTAGTCTAAAAGATCTCATCTAATCCTCATCATGACCTTATGATGTGAGTATACTCTTTATATCATATTGATTAAATAGGGACTCAGAAGGGTTAAGTGACTTTCCTGGGGACACAGAGTTGGATAAAGGGATTTGCACCTAATCTGATGAATTTTAAAAACCCTGTCCTTTCCACATTGTCAAATTATCTCCAGTCCAGATGCTTTCTTCTCTTCTTTCTCCATTGTCTCTGTTCTGTGGACTCGGGCATTCACCTCTGCCCCCATGGTACCTGCACATCTGTCTGCTATAGCTCTTATCATATGAGATGATAATTATTCACCTGCTTGACTAGTCTATCACTCTGCTAGCAATGTCTTATTCTCCCCTCTGTTCTGTATTCTCAGGTCTTTGTCAGATATATAGTACCTGTTCCAAAAATACTTTTAGAAATCAATTAAATTCCTTCATCTCTAATTACCAAACCTGTTATCTTTCACAGAGTAGAGGGTTACATCTGACATAAACTGTGAAGAAGACAATCTCCCCTATCAGCCCATTATTTTCTGTAAGAACAAGCCTAGTTAACCACCCCACACCCCCACAAAAGGGCCAGGGTTCTCTTCAGGTACTCCTGCTGTGAGACAAGAGTGGCAGAACGACTCCCACGCCCTGACAACTGGAAGAGGTCAAGCTCCCAAGGTGCCATCTGCTCCCATGGGTTTGGCCTGCCAGGGAAGAGCTCAGCAAATCCACCTGAAAGAGGGTGAAGGGTGATGAAGTCAGAGTGAGTGTTGGCTGATTGCCTGATTCCAGAGATTTACCCTCTTCCAGATGCTAGAAGCATCTTCACCCCATTTTCTTACTGCATTTTCCAGGCCTTGTAGTTACAATATATTCTCTTTTAAAACAAACACAGACGCGACCCCATCTTTGTCAGTGCACAAAATGGCGCCCTACAGCCTACTGGTGATCTGGCTGCAGAAAGCTCTGGGTGTGCAGCAGTACCATGTGGCCTCAGTCCTGTGCCAACAGGCCAAGGTGGCGACGAGTCACTTTGAGTCCAAGTACATCCACTATGACCTGGTAGAGAAGAACATTAACATTGTTCGCAAACGATTGAACCGGCCTCTGACCCTCTCTGAGAAGATTGTGTATGGACACCTGGATGACCCCGCCAGCTAGGAAATCGAGTGGGGCAAGATGTACCTGCAGCAGTGGCCAGACAGCGTGGCCATGCAAGATGCAACCGCCCAGATGGCCACACTGCAGTTCATCAGCAGCAGGCTCCCAAGGTGACCGTGCCGTCCACCATCCACCATGACCATCTGATCGAGGCCCAGCTCGGGAGTGAAAAAGACCTGCGCCGGGCCAAGGACATCAACCACGAAGTTTATAATTTCCTGGCAAATGCAAGTGTCAGATATGGCGGGGGCTTCTGGAAGCCTGGATCTGGAATCACTCACCAGCTTATTTTGGAAAACTATGAATACCTTGGGGTTCTTCTGATTGACACTGACTCCCATACCCCCAGTGGTGGCAGCCTGGGGGGCATCTGCATTGGAGTTGGGGGTGCTGAACTGTGGGTGTCATGACTGGGATCCCCTGGGAGCTGAAGCGCCCCAAGGTGATTGGCATGAAGCTGATGGGCTCCCTCTCCGGTTGGATTTCACCCAAAGATATGATCCTGAAGGTGGCAGGCATCCTCACAGTGAAAGGTGGCACAGGTGCAATCGTGGAATACCACGGGCCTGGTGTAGACTCCGTCTCCTGCACTGGCATGGCGATAGTCTGCAACATGGGTGCAGAAATTGGGGCCACCACTTCCGTGTTTCCTTATAACCACAGGATGAAGTAGTACCTGAGCAAGACCTGCCGGGCAGACATAGCCGATCTAGCTGATGAATTCGAGGATCACTTGGTGCCTGACCCTGGCTGCCATTATGACCAACTAACTGAAGTTAACCTCAGTGAACTGAAGCCGCACATCAATGGGCCCTTCACCCCTGACCTGGCTCCCCCTGTGGCAGAAGTGGGCAAGGTGGCAGAGAAGGAAGGATGGCCTCTGGACATCTGACTGGGTCTGATTGGCAGCTGCACCAATTCAAGCTATGAAGATATGGGGCACTCAGCAGCTGTGGCCAAGCAGGCACTAGCCCATGGCCTCAAGTGCAAGTCCCAGTTCACGATCACTCCATGCTCTGAGCAGATCTGCACCACCACTGAGTGGGACGGCTAAGCACAGACCTTGAGGGATGTGGGCGGCATCGTCCTGGCCAATGCTTGTGGCCCCTGCATTGGCCAGTGGGACAGGAAGGACATCAAGAAGCAGAAGAACATAACTGTCGCCTCCTACAACAGGAACTTCACGGGCTGCAATGACGCAAACCCTGAGACCCACGCCTTCGTCACATCCCCAGAGACTGTCACAGCCCTGGCCATTGTGGGAACCCTCAAGTTCAACCCAGAGACCAACTACCTGACACGCAAGGATGGCAAGAAGTTCAAGTTGGAGGCTCCTGATGCAGATGAGCTTCCTCAAGCAGAGCTGGACCCAGGACAGGACACCTACCAGCACCCCTGCAAGGGCTACCACTGATCACATCTCGGCTGCTGGCCCCTGGCTCAAGTTCCGTGGGCACTTGGAAAACATCTCCAACAACCTGCTCATTGGTGCCATCAACGTTGAAAATGGCAAGGCCAACTCCATGCGTGATGCTGTCACCCAGGAGTTTGGCCCTGTCCCTGCCACTGCCCGCTACTACAAGCATCATAGCATCAGGTGCATGGTAACTGGGGGATGAGAACTACGGTGAGGGCTTAAGGCAGGAGCACGCAGCACTGGAGCCTCGCCACCTCAGGGGCTGGGTCATCATCACCAAGAGCTTTGCCAGGATGCATGAGACCAACCTGAAGAAGCAGAACCTGCTGCCCCTGACCTTTGCTGACCCAGCTGACTACAGCAAGATTCGCCTTGTGGACAAGCTGACCTTTCAGGGCCTGAAGGACTTGCCCCTGGCAAGCCCCTGAAGTACATCATCAAGCACCCCAACGGGACCCAGGAGACCATCTTCCTGAACCACACCTTCAACAAGATACAGATCGAGTGGTTCCGTGCCGGCAGTGCCCTCAACAGAATGAAGGAGCTGCAGCAATGACGGCAGCACCTCCTCACAACCCCCTCCCCACCTCACCCAGCGCTGGTGTCATGTTCAAGTTCAGCTCCATGTGAGCCATCAGTGCCACCAGCCATGGCTTCTTACTCCAAGATGGTGCCACCAGACATGCTTCCTGCTCCCCGCTCAGCCCACAAGTGACTGTGGTTGGGGGGTTCTTAAAATAACTTTTTAGCCCCTGCCTTCCTATTTTTAGTTTGGTTCAGATCTTAAGGAGCTCCATGCAACTGTATTTATTTTTGATGACAAGACTCCCAGCTAAAGTTAGAAAAAAAAAAAAATACGGTGGCTCATGCTTATAATCCAAGATCACCTCAGGTCGGGAGTTCAAAACCAGCCTGGCCAACATGGTGAAAGCCCCGTCTCTACTAAAAATACAAAAATTAGCTGGGTGTGTGGTGTGCGCTTGTAATCCCAGCTACTGGGAGGCTGAGGCACAAGAATTGCTTGAACCCGGGAGGCGGAGGTTGCAGTGAGCCGAGAGTATGCCACTCCATTCCAGCCTGGCAACAAGAGTGAGACTCTGTCTCAAAAAAAAAAAAAAAACAATAACAACAACAAAAAACTAAATACAATAAAATAAA